TCACCCTACCCAATTCTTCGTTACCTGGGCACAGCTTCCGGATTCACCTCCAAGCCCTCCTCCTGGAGGCTGTAAGTGGAGGCAGTTGTAGAATGTGGTACGTAGGATCTCTACCTAATAGGCTTACCAATGCAAACTCATGCCAATTCATGCCCGTTCTAACCATGGCTAACATTTCTGAGCGCCCACCAAGTCCCAGGCACCATTCTGAGCACTATGTGTGAGCAAATTTAATCTTCACCAAAACCCTCTATCTTCATCATCCCCACGTATACGGGGAAAGTGGGTCACAAAGAATAACCTAACGAGGCAGGGCACAAGCTAGCAGGTGAACCCAAGGAGCCTGGCTCTAAAAGCGAGGATTTTCTATGTCTTCATGCCGTCCTGCGTCTCGAATGGAAGGGAGGGGTCGAACAAGGGGGCCTAGGACATGAGGAGCAAAGGAGCCTACATCTTAGCAGAGAAGACCACCAACAAACAAATAAATAAGAATTACGCCCTGACCGGTTTGGCTCAGTAGATAGAGCGTCGACCTGCGGACTGAAGGGTCCCAGGTTCGATTCTGGTCAAGGGCATGTACCTTGGTTGCAGGCACATCCCCAGTAGGGGTGTGCAGGAGGCAGCTGATCAATGTTTCTCTCTCATTAATGTTTCTAACTCTCTATTCCTCTCTGTAAAAAAAAATCAATACATATTAAAAAAAACAGAATTACAAGGTCATGGACAAGGGAGATGAAGAAAAAATCAGGAGTGATTTTGAGGAACCTTCTGGAATGCCGCAAATATTCAATTATCTTGCTCTGGGTTGTGGTCCCATGAGTGCACATGTACTGGAAGTTCATCCAGCTGTACACCGAAGATTTAAAATGTACCAGGAAACAGTAAACAAATGGCAGATGGTGGAATGCTACAGATATGGGGAGAAGGCTGGAGTGATCCATGCGGTAATGGATCAGAATTGGAGACAAGTGTATGAACCCATTTAATTTGACATAAAGGAGAAATGCCTATAGATATGTGTATATAGATGGGCTAGGAACCCTTTTCCTTGCTGTCCGCTGAGAGGACGTAGGAGCAAAGACTCATCAGTAGCAAGGAGCACACTGAGCACTCGGATCCTGGTTTCTAATGCTTTTCTCCAATAAACGGAAGCAGGATTCCTTGGGCAAATGACCAATGCTAGGGCTGTGACAGAGAATACGCAAGATGAGCCTAAAGCATCTTGTAGTGGCAGGAAGTAAGAAAGTGTTCAATTAATCAATCAATCAGTCAACCACCCAATGATGTCAAAGGGATACTGAAATGCTCCCAATGGCCAAAACTGAAGTAATTTGAGCAACAAAGTAAATTAGTATAGGACTGTATAACCCAAAGTAGAAAATAATTGAGTCCATGATGATATAAATAAGTGATTGAATAAAGAAATGGGAAAAAGAGACAAATCTCCCATACAGAAGAATTCCAAGTAATTTATGTAGATATTCTGGCCTTAAGGAGGAGGAATATAACTCCCCACTCCATGTGAGCTGGGCATTGTGACTTCCTTCTAAAGCATACAGTGTGGAAGGAGAGAAAACTGACAAGCACCACCTGAGCATCTGTGGTCAAGGTCAACATAATCCGTTTATAACGTGTGCCCTTAATATGATGTGATGAAATGGCACTTTATTCTGTGGTCTTCTTCCCCAAAACCCCATTATTCCAGTCCACTCCAGTCCAATATGAAAAAAAAACATGAGATAAATCCCAGTTGAGTGACACCGTACAAAATACCTGACGAGTATTCCTCAACACTCTCACGGTCATCAAAAACAAAAACTGAGAAGTTGTTAGAGCCAAGACAAGTCGAAGAAGACGTGTAACTAAATATAATGTTGTATCCTATGTGGAATCCTGGGACAGAAAAGGGACTTTAGCCCTAGCCAGCATTGCTCAGTGGTTAGAGCACCAGCCCGCACACCGAAAGGTCTTGGGTTCAATTCTTGGTCAAGGGTATGTACCTGGGTTGTAGGCCAGGGCGCATGCATGAGGCAACCAATCGTTCTCTCTCTCTCTCTCTCTCTCTCTCTTCCTCTCTCCTCCCTCCCTCCCTTCCAAAATCAATGGAAAAAATATCCTCTGGGGGGGATTAACAGGGGGAAAAAAAGAAAGAAAAGAAAAGGAAAGAAAAGGGAGGGGAGGGGAGGGGAGGGGAGGGGAGGGGAGGGGAGGAGGGAGAGAGGGAGGGAGAGAGAGAGAGAGAGAGAGAGAGAGAAAGGAAGGAAGGAAGGAAGGAAGGGAGGGAGGGAGGGAGGGAGGGAGGGAGGGAGGGAGGGAGAAAGAAAGAAAAAGAAAAGGGACCTTAATGGAAAAACTAAGGAAATCTGAATAAACCATGGACTTTAGTTGGTAATAACATCCATATCGATGGGTTTCTTGTGACAAATGAAACATACTAATGCATGAGGTTAATAATAGGAAAACTGGGGGGGGGGGCGTTTGATATGAGAATACTCTGCACTGTTTTCACAACTTATCTGGAAATCTAAAATTAGAAGTTTGTTACTAAAAGTAACAGAAAATGATGAACCGGCTCCTGTGGACTGCTGGCCACTCAAGGCCTCTCTAAGGAGATGGCGTCGGAGATGAATCTGAGATGAGAAACAGGCAGCAGGACCCAGGGCACCATGTTCCCAGCAAAGGGCACAGCACACACGGGGCCCGGAGGAGAAAACAGAGGGGAAAGGGGCCCGGACGCTCAAGTGGAGTCAAGGGGAGGAAGGGGAGGAGGTAAACAGAATGTCACAAGGTGAACAAGCCCGCCGGGGGAGGGAGGGCGGCCCGGGGAGGGAGGGCATAGTGGCCTCAGACTGGAGCCTCAGGGCACTGGGAGGTCAGTGGAAGGACTCAGCAAGATGGGACAGATCTGACCCATGCTTTTTTGACCGCCCTAGCTGTTATAGGAGGAGGGCTGGAGTGGGGTAGATAAGAAAGAGGGACAGTGGTCACCCCACAGTGGTCACCCTTCATGTAGCAGTCAGAGGAAGATGCCACCTGGTGAAGAGCTAGGATGTCTAGGGAGGTGGAAGAAGAGAGGTCTCCACACTTACGGGAAAGGGAATAGGGTGCTCCACCCTGTTCTCAATAGGGGAAGGGGGTGTACTGACCAAAGCAGGCCTCCCCGCCCCCGACCCGGGACAGTGACAATCCCCGCCTTTGACTCTCTTGGAGAAGCCTCCACAGCGGGGCTCCAGGAAGGAAGCACCTCCTTGGAGTCAGAGCCTCGCTCAGGTCTGCCACTTACTGCCTGGGAGATGTTGCCATTTAGGGCCTCCGTTTCCTCATCTGCAAAATGGCAACAACACCTCGGTCAATGGGGATTGGAGGGATTCAGTAAGAGAAAGCTCCTGGTCCAAGCACAGCCTTCAAAATACTCTGAGTTTTCTTTCTTTCTTTTTTTTTTTTTTTTTTAGCAAAGGTGGAAATTTATTGAATAGATACAGACTCCCACGTGGGGAGAGGGAAGAGTCCCACAGAATGAACTCCCACGTAGGGAGGGGGAAAGGGTCCCTCTGAGTATTCTTTCTACAGGAGAAGGCCAAGGTGGGAGGAATTTTAGAATCTAACCTAACACCTCATTTTACAGAGAAGAAAACGGAGGCACAGAGACAGAAGGTGTCCAAGCCCCACAGGAAACTGAACAGCAAGAGACCCCCATCTCCAGCTTCCTTTCTCTGGGTTCTCCCTGCACCCTCTGACCCACTCCCTCAATCGCTGTCTCACAACACCCCTTCAGGAAGGTTCTTTCCTTGCTCAAAACTCCCCCACTGATGGCCCCCATGGGCTGGATGGGGACTGTGATGAAAGATGAAGCGCCCACTGACTGGGCCCACCCTGCCAACCTCTCGCAGTTATTCTCTCCCTTCCCCCGCCCCCCAGGCACAGACCACCCACGTGGGCAGCCTGGCCTTCCAACAGGAGGTGCCTCCCGCCTCCTCTCTGGACCATGCCAGTCCTCCATCTGTCAGGCCAGACCCAGCGACAGCCAGCCTCCATACCCAGGTCCCAGCCATGGCGCTAGGACCCCTATCTCTGCCCAAAATGACAAGCTTATAAAAATCCTCAAAAACCTTTGTTATTGCAGCCGCATTTAGGGAGCCACTTTTGTGTGGCTCTCTAGCTAGCGAGATGGGAGTCTTTCTGGGTGAGTCTGTCAACAACCCTCTCCCCGGCCCTTCTGGCCTCCCCGGTGCCTCACAGCACCAGGCTGAGTGCTAGAGCAGGCACTCAGCGCCTCGTCAAAGGAGTAACGACAGTGTGGTACAGCCATTAAGTTTAGAGATGAGCATTTTCATCAACCAAAGATATGAAAAATACTCCAGTCGCTCATTTTCAAAAGCACCCTGGAGGCAAAAGTGAACAACTGCTTCCCTTTTGGGGAAGCCTCATGAAATCTCACACACACCGAACAAAAAGTCCCCATCCCTCAATTAGAAGTTGGAGGAGTCTAACATACAGGTTTCTGTTATTAGGAAACGTCAACTGTGTTTGCTCTCATTTGCTAAATTTTGTCCTAAATGCAAATACCGGCCCCCGAAATTCCAGAAAGTCCTGCATTTTCTCCCACTTCCGTGATTCCAAACGGGTCACGTTTATTAACATAAGGAACCTCGCAGCAGCTGGAGATGGCTCGCTTCCAGAACGTACTTTATTTAAATTCTGGTTCCTGAAAGTCACCCTGCAGAGAGGCAGCCAGCCACCCTTAGTCAAGATAGAAAACGTGTGCTCATGGACAACCCCCGACAGGTCGGTCTACCTGCACAGACACGCAAGGGAAAGAAAAGCAGAAAGAGATTTCTCCATAAATTAGGTTCATCCATCTAAGGTCTCACAGCTCAAAATCGGAGGCGCGTTGTTGCAGCCTCGGTTCATAGAGCCACACTTGGCTGCACCACAACAAGAAAGAGAAATTCCAATTTCCTCCTCTGATCTGGAATAGATAATACGAGATTTTTACTCACCTTTGGATCGAGTGGAGATATCCATGCCCTCTACCACCTCCTGTTCTGTTTTGATTTCCTCCTCGGCCAAGCTGAAACAGAGCAAATTATGTTCAGGTTTAGGTAGACTGAGAACTTGCCCAATGGGGGCAGCTAGCTATTTAGAAGTCCTAACGACAAACCCAACTTTAAGGCAATCCCCCATCCTTATGGAGGGATGGGGGCGGGGGGAAGAAACCCACACCTGATTGCAAACAAAGGGTAATGCCTCCTAAAGGAGTATTTTTAAGACACCGGGTCGTCCTTCCTTTAAGTCAAATTACTACTCCAGTTATCGTGCTGGTGGGGGATGCAAAGAGCATTTTTTTAGATACACAATTACAATCTGCCCCCATGGGCCAATGAGCACCCAGCCTTGGAGTAAACAAGTGTCTCACTGTTAACACCGGATTCAGGTAGGAGGGGGTTTGCAGGGTATGCAGAGTTCTGATGCCTGAATTCTGTAAGGCAAACAGCATTTCTCAGACCTCCCTGCTGCATCTTACAATTTCAAGAAGGGGCAGGAACAGGGGAAAAATGTACAGAATTGCAAAGTAGAAAAATCTGCCGGGGCTAGAAGCAAAAAGCCTTGTCTGGAAACATTCAAGCCACCAGCATTTACCCCAGGCACTAGGATCAGGGGTCTCCACACTCCCATCCCCCACCCCCAGGGATGTGTCCTCTGGGCAGCAGGCATGGCTTAGAGAAAGCAATGGCCCTCTTTTGAGCTGTGACTAATTATTCCCCACCACTAAAGTGGAAGGAGGAAGGATTCTTTGAAAGAGAGGCTGAGAGATGGGGGTTGGGGAGAGACGCGAGAAAGCAGGCCCCCTTTGCTGGGAAGGTCCACCAGAATCTTCTCTCTTTCTCTTCGGGAACTCGCACTGAATAGAGTACAAACCATTTTGTATCTTACACACACACACACACACACACACACACCCCCCTAAATCAAGCCGTGAAAGTCTGCTTAAATAGGTGCAAACGGTGAGGTACGAAGAACTTCAACATTCTGGGGCTGACAGTGAAGTGGTAAGAATCTTAACAGCCCTGGCCAGTGTTGCTCAGTGGTTAGAGTGTCGGTCCCAGCACCAAAGGGTCGCAGGTTCCCAGTCAAGAGCACATATCTAGGTTGCAGGTTCTATCTGGAGTGTGTGTCGGAGGCAACCAATCAATGTGTCTCTCTCACATCAATGTTTCTCTCTCTCTACCCCCTTCTCCATCTCTTTCCCCCTTTCCCCTTTCCTCCCTCTCTCTTTCTCTCTCTCTCCCTCCACTCCCCCCACCCTTCCACTCTATCTAAAAATCAAATGGGAAAAAATATCCTCAGGTGAAGATTTAACAACAACAAAAAAAGAATCTGAACAATTACTCTAATGCAATTCCACCCGACTATGGTTCAACAAGAAATCGGTGTGTTCCCAATTGCTATGGCTAGAATTTTCCATTGGGAAGACTCAAAGCCAGGACAGAAGGGAGGCCGGGCAGGAGAGGTAGGATGAGAGTGTCGTTCTGTATTCAGGAGTCTGGGACTGTCTGGGACAAAAGAGTCCAAGAAGGCCTGTCACATGGAGGTATGTTTAGGGGAGTTCCACGTTTGTTGGGGGAAGAGTTCATCGAAATGGGAACTGCATAGAAAGGAAGAGATGATAGCTTAGAGTTAAATTGTAAGAACTTGGAGGCCTCAAACTTCCCTAGTGCCAGCACTGAGAAGAAAGGTAGTTTGGTTTTAAATCAGCATATTAACACCTTTCGCTCTCTGATATTGAACCCCGTTAACAATTTCATTTGCACTGCATCTGTAGAGAAAGGCTGTGACACAAATCACCAGAAACAACTGACAGATTGTCACGAACGGTTTTCATCAGAAGAAAGCAGCCTTTTACATTTAAACACATCGCTAACATGCAATAATACAACGGTGATGGTGGAAGGTGATTTTAGCACTAATACCTTCTACTCCAACTTAAGAGGCACACATTCTCAACTCAGAAACACACCCTGCCTGCCCCACACACCGGTTGTCCAAATAGATACTGGTGATGGTTTCTTGCTTGGGGTGACTGGAAATAAATTTTAACAAAAAGCCCCATGCAGCCTTCAGAGCTGGATAGATGGTCCACTTCAAAGGAACAAATAGCCACCTTGATCTTTTCTACCAACTAGAAATGTTTCCCCCTCTAGCATGAAGTATGTGAAATCTTAAACTTCTTGAAACCAATCCCATATTTGGAGTGACAGAGAAAAATGCCAATCTGGGGTCCAACCAAAATGCCTGGTTGTGAAAGAAACAACTTATGCATAACAGAGCCCCAAAAGCCCACTGGAAGGATTTCTGCAGGGATGAAGACATTCAAAGGTATATGGATCATGGAGGAGGGCTGTGTTCAAGAGAACAATGATTTGGCTTGTAACAGCCTAGAGGAGTTGAATACTTTCAGCAGAAATGCTGTTGTGAGGCTAAGAAAATGCAAACTAGTGATGTAGGGGCTATTTGCTGCTGAGTTTAAGATAATCAATTCTGAAGCAGACAAGAGGGGGGGGGGGGAGCTAAGCTGTTTTATCTTTCCAAGTATTGCAAGTGGGCCACCATAATCACCTAACTTTAGCACTAGCACCACCAGCTTTAGCAAGGATTTTGAGCACAACAATTTCAGAAAACCATCTTTTTCACCGATCAGCAAGCCATCATTCCAAAGGGAACCCATACATGCACATGTGTGTGCACACAATGCATACAATAATTTGTGTTTGATTAAAGGAAATTGCAGTGTCTATGCATTAGAGGGGGGTGGGGGTGGGGGAATCATTTACAAAAGCAAAGACCAGAATGCAAAATTAGTCATTTTGCATAGCCACATCTAAAGGGACTTCCTTTTTCTACACCACTGAACTCAGGTTTGCTGTGTTGTTGTCTTTTTTTTTTTTTTCTTTTGGCTTCGTTTTAAATATTAGTATGTTATTAGGGGAAAGCCTATTTATACTACACCAAAAGAGGTGGTGAGAAAAGGTTTGTACCTGTCTGAATGCCCCACAGATCTTGGTCAATTTAGGTTAAGAACTGTTCAGTCATTTGGATTAAACACACACACACACACACACACACACACACACACACATACACAGTCAAATAACCATAATTGTTAAAAAGAAGAGGTGGATGCATCTGCAGAAAGGGCTTTCAACTCTTGTTATTCACACATTAAAGTCTTAGGAAATATCCAGCATCTTTTCTTCCCTATCTGTTAGCTTCCAGCAACCCGGGATTACCTAGGTCAAAAAACAAGGGGACAAGAAGCACTTGTTTCAAACTGACATTACTTTTTTTTTTCTTTTCTTTTAAAACCTGCAGGGAAGGCTGAGGATACCCACATGAGGAAAAGGTAATATTAGCTGAAAATCAAACTACCGTCTCTCCCCCCACAGGAAAATTCACCATCAACTAGTTGTACACAAATGTTACCACCACCACCACTTCTTCCACTCACATTTACCCAAGTCACCTGCCTCTGGATTTTACAAACTGATACATTTCAGACAATTCAAGAAATAACAGTGCCTGCAAATATAACCAAGGGCATGCCAGCCAGTCCCAGAAAGAATAAAAGATTTCTCTCCCAATGCCTGAGCAAGAAAACCTATGCTTCCCTCTTAACCTGCATGCACTTTTAAAAAAGAGCAATTAAAAGTTGCAGATGAACTGCTGCACCTCCAGGATGCTGTAAGCCTTCTGATTATTAATTCTGAGGACTCAAGGCTGGTCCGTAATTCCCAGGCATCCCATCCCCTGAGCACTTCCAAAAGGGAGAGAGAGAAAAATACATATACATATAATTTTAACAGAAAAATGCCTGGATACACAATGCCCAGACCTTTCTTTCCCCCAAGTGTCCCTACTACTTGACTTTTAACCAAGAATATCTAAACCCATCTAGAATATACAACCAGCATGCACAAGACTCTGGCTCTATAGCTGAGGATCACCCCGCAGCAATTCAAAGAATCATGCATCATTCCAAAGGACTTTTCCTTCAGCTTTTTCACTTTCATTCAGAATCCCAAACTGGTCCAGGCTGTAAGAAACAGTTAATCCCCAAGACACAACACCTTCCTCTTCTAGATCACAAAATAACCAACATCAAATTTTAAAAACCATGCTCCCCTAAATCTGCAATTCATTTTGTTTTAATGGAGGGGGGGGGCGGTTAGCAGAGCAGCTTTATATAAGCACTCACCTAAAACGGGCAGAGTCATCGGTAGCTAAGCTATTTATGCAGGATTCTTAAAATGGCGTCTGGCAACACTGCCTCCCTCATTCCTGGGCTGAAGCTAAAATGGTAGCAGTTTGTTCAATAGCTGCAGCTCGTGGTTAGGCAGCCCTGCTACTTTTCAAGCCACCCTCCTAAAGATCAGAACCAGGCAGCGCTCAACCAGAGGGCACCAACAACCCAACGTGTAGAAGCTTAAAAAAAAAAAACCCTGCAATGACAGGGGGGAGTTTGTGAAGTCACAGGTTCCTAAGGAAAACCCTTCCCTTTCAGATCCTGAGCCTGCACCATGAGGCTCTGAGAAGAGGCCCCCTCTGCCCTCGAATTAGGCGGTTGAAGATTAGGAAACAGGCAGGCGTGTGGCAGAAGCTGCGGACAGACAGGTGTCGGTGCAAAACACGCGCACACACACGTTACAAGGGAGCAGCAGGCTGGCGAGGGGAAGGAAGGAAGTCCATTTCCCCTTGTTGGTATATTAAAAGCCAGCTTTGCATCCATACCCAAAAGGAGCTAGGTAAAATGAAAGGGCTTCCAGGACAGCGGGCACCTGAAAAGCCCAGCTAAAGGGCAGCACCCCAGTCCGAGGCCGAGGTAAAATCAAAAGGCTGTGTTGAGCTTGAACACGGCCACCAAATGCCCAGCCGGTCTGAAGACAGCATCAAGGAAAGACAATTGGGAGTCTGCAGGGACACAACAGTAAAATATTCGCTCAGCCAATGCACAGATTAGATTTGGGTCCACCCCCAACAGAGCCCTAAAAATTAACCGCTGGTTTTGCAAAACCCGCTTTCAGAGGCCAAACGAATAGCCTCAGAGTGGATAATGTAATCTACGGTTACAGGTCTGAGCACTGGCCTCAGCGCTGTGGTGCTGGGAGGGGAGAGTTTCAAGGTGACTGCTTTTTCGCTCCAGGGGAGACAGGAGGGCATGGTGCCCAAGGCTGTGCCAGGGCTGGGACGGGCGGTTGGCTCCTCGCCGGCCGGCCGATAGGTGGGTAATCTTGATGAGGAGGGACAGCCTAGCAGCCTGGCTAGCTGCAGGGCTGAAATGGCTCCCGCCAGCTTGTTTATCTGGAAGGAGATTGGGGAGGGGGAAGGGCAGCCATAGCCTAGGCAACCTGAAAAGCCAGGGGTGAATCCTCGTTTTTGCATTTCAGAGCAACACCAGGGCTTCTCGACATATTCCCTTACTAAATCTCTGCTGTGCGGTGGCAAAGGCACTTTTTGAGTGTCTTTCTTTTCAGGGTCAACCAGAGGCAAAGCCAGATCTAGGGCTTCTCAGCTGACAAATGTTTGTTGCCTCTGCTACAAGAGAGAGAAGGGAAAAGGCAAAAGAAACAAAGAGATCACACATTTGAAGTGGTTGGACTCAAAAAACCTACCTCTGCCTTCAGGGTTTTCTGGGTTACTGTCACCCTGGCTTTTTACAGATTGAGTCCTTTCCTCCTCTCCTATTTAAGACCTGAAGCGGTTCGCCACTGTCCTCCCAGGGAAAGAAAAGGGGTTACAAGAAAGAAAGAAAAAGAAAGAAAGAAGGGGGGGGGAGCTATTGTTTTCATCCCTAATTTATAATCCAAGATGCCCCATTGTTTCCTTCTTTCTGACTCAAATCTTTGAGCTAGTAATTACAAAAGTAACTGGATGGGGCTCCAACAGGCTAACCATGTTCATGCCCGGCAATTAGAAAAACTACGTAGAAAGTTTACTGAGTGATTATATATAATTAATTCCTAGTTACACAGGGAACACTGACCATTTTCTGGAGCTAATAAAAGCAGTTGCTCCCCCTCCCCCACGTGAATGCCACTTAATTTCCCAAAGCAGAAAGTGAATCCATCCTGGAGGGTCTTGAAGGGGAAGAAAAGGGAGGGGGAGAGAGGAATCAAAAGGTCCAGTGTGTCTGTGTTTGTTCCTTGCAGCTGTGCATCCTCTTTAGGGACTGAGGAGGCAGAAGGAAAAAGGAAAACAGCCCCCTGTTCTGTCCCTTCCTCTGCAATTTTCAAACGTGGCAGAGAGAACATTCTACCTTGATGTAAAAAAAGGAAGGGGAGGAGGGGGAGAAATGCCTTAGGAATGGAATGCAGGAGACTCTTCCGCTTGGTGGATCTGTTTTTCCTAAAAGGAACAAAGATGGTAGAAATTTCCAGAAGGCCCAGTCTCAGTTCGGCCACTGCAATTGTCAATCTGTAACCTTTCCTCCCAGTCTATTGGTTCAAAAGCTGGAGAGAGGAGCCCCATTGGGCTGCTCTGTGAGCCAGCACTGCTGTGCCTACCTAGTCCTGCTGCAATGCAGACATGTTTACCCCCTAACTGAAACTGGAAAATAATGCTACTTTGAAAGCAACTGACTTGCTACAGACTCATGCTCAGTGGGGGCCACAGGACCCAGGAAAAGTGACTAGCTTGGTCCAGACTGAGAACTTGCTGGGGCTGGCTGCACATCTGAAAACAGATCTTGGCTTCGCAAACCTGTGTGAGCCATTTTTAATGTGAGCTTTTAGAGGACAAATACCTTGCCCTTAGGTTTCCTTCCAGCCCAACAAATACGCCATTATGCAAACACTAGGCACCAAAGCAGGAGTCTTGTGATTAGATATTGCTTCTAGGGAGGCCACACGAACCTCAGTATATAATTTCCATTTTCAGTCAGGAGACAAGAACAAAGAAAATAGCTAAATGTCTGAACTGACTTGTGTGGGGCAGGACAACTGTTCAGTTTTAAGTATATAAAACATCATTAACTCTTGACATTTTACTCTAAGAAGCTGGCCTTCCACAGACTTTTCTTAACTTAGAGTTTGGTACATTTCTCACCATTAAATGAGCCTTTTTTCCCATGGGTGCTAAAAGCTGGACACTAATTTAAAAGGAAAAAAGATTATGGACTCCATCAGGTTGGCATAACACAGCAATTGAATATATTTCCAGCATTTACAGCTATGCGGGATTGGTCTCCAGGCTGGAAATTGATGCACTGAACTTCTAGGGAAATTCTGAAGCTAACGCCAAACAAGAGTCCACTTTTTTTCACTCTGAAGTTCTAACTGCAGCATTAAGAGATCAGGGGAAATGAAAAAAGTAAGAAATAATTCATAAGTAAAGGTAAGCATGCATACAGATGTGTGGGGGTGGGTCAGACTTGGAAGAGGCCAAATCTGTTTAGCAGTGAGTCCTTAATCAAATCAAGTTTGCTGGTGGGTGGGATTTTGTACTCAGTGTTAGTATCTTAAAACCTGAGTACTGACACCACTAACCCCACACACACCACACACACACCCACACCCACACCCACACACCACCACCAGCTCCTGCCCCTCTACTTGCTTAAGGCTCTGTGACTCTTAAGAACAAGCACTTTCTTATATTTCACAAGCAGATCACCTACCCAGACTTCTATCTAATATCCAAACAAACCCAATTAAAGGTCTCCAGGCAAGTCACAATGAACTGCACATGTCTCCCCTGTCTGAGGGTTAACAGGAAGTATAATCTTCCATCCTAGCTGAGGTTCTCAGGAAAAACAGTGCATTCAAACAGTCACCTAAAATCAAGACACTATTTAAAAGCCCCTGTTTGGTTCCTGCTAATGAAAAGCCCTCCACTGCTATAGCCAAGACCCCCTGCTATAAACAGACCCCAAATGTTCGCCAAACTCTTTATACATGGTCACAGAGGAAATGGATCGCTTTACTTACCCAACATGTTCAAGCAACCGTCTCATTTTTCCACAGTTAAGAAGAGAGAACAGGCTGGCAGATTTGGGACTTGATCAAAAAGGAAATTTTTTTTAAAACAGTTACATGGGATTATTAAAAACACACACCACAACAACAACACAACCCAACAACTGAATAGGGAATGCTGTCATGAGCCACAGACGTGATTTTATTTCCTCTGCACTATCACAGGAGGACAGAAGATGATACAATGAGGGGGGGGGGG